TTGTAGTAGTTGTGATTTTACCTTTGTGAAAAGGTAAAACTCTGTTTAACTTATGCTTTTAAATAGAAAACGGGCTATTTTATCTTCTATTTTGTAATTCTTTTATTTTTTAAAAGCTTTATTGAGATGCAATCCCTACCACCCACAAACATGTTTTATTGGCATACAATTTGCACACGATACAATGTGGGTGGTGGGGATTGAGCTCAGGGCCTTGGGCTAAGCATGCATTCAACCACTGAGCTGCCCCCACCCTCATGCCCATCGAAATTGCCCAATCCAGTGGCTTTTGGTGAAGTCAGAGTTGTGTATCCATTACTAAAACAAACTCTAGAATGCTCGTCACCCCATAGAGATACCGTGTACCCCTTAATTCATTCTCCCCCAGTTCTGGCGATCACTAATCTACTTCACATTTCTGTGGATTTGCCTGTCCCGGACAGCTCAGACACTGTCTTTTACGTGGCCTAGCATTTTCAAGTTTCGGACATGTTGTGGCAGATGTCTGCAATGTGCTCCTTTTTACGGCTCACTCATATTCCATGGTGTGGAAAGACCAGTGTGTTGATCCATTTATCTGTTTGTGGACATTTGGGTTTTCCACAGTTTGGCTGTCGTCGTGAGCACGCATGCAGAAGTACACATTTTTGTACAGACCCACATTTGCATTTCTCTTGAGTGTATACTTGGAATGGAACTCTTGGATCGTGTGCTATTTCTCTTTAACCATCTGGAGGGCCACCTTGTTTTTTTTTTTTAAACAGTACTGGGATTTGAACTCAGGGCTTTGTGCTTGCTAGGCAGGTGCTCTACCATTTGAACCACCTCCAGCCCAGGACCCGCCTTTTATTTTGAGGTGGATGGTGAGATGTGAACAGCTACCCACATCAGCACCTGGAGACCTCCCTCTTAGCCAGAGGGTAGTATTTCACCATATGAAAACACCAGGGTTTATAATTTAGTCCCATGTTGACGGGCATTGAGGCTTTTGGGGTTCTGTTCTTACAGGTGAGGACGGAGTCCTCGCTGACGGGTCTCAGGGTTGTCTGTGTTCTTTGGAGCAACAAAGGAGCACCTTTGCACTTTGTGGGTTTTTTCTGCAGACCGTGTGCCTAGACGTGGCAAGGTGAGGGGTTTGTCTGTTGTGAGGCATGGTTCTAGCCTGATCCTGACTGTGTGACCTTATTTCACAGGGGATCAGCTGGGCACAATGGCACAGAAGGGTCAACTCAGTGACGATGAGAAGTTCCTCTTTGTGGACAAAAATTTCATCAACAGCCCAATGGCCCAGGCTGACTGGGTGGCCAAGAAACTGGTCTGGGTCCCGTCAGAGAAGCAGGGCTTTGAGGCAGCCAGCATCAAGGAGGAAAAGGGCGATGAGGTGGTCGTGGAGCTGGTGGAGAATGGCAAGAAGGTCACCGTGGCCAAAGATGACATCCAGAAGATGAACCCTCCCAAGTTCTCCAAGGTGGAAGACATGGCAGAGCTGACATGTCTCAACGAGGCTTCAGTGCTGCACAACCTGCGGGAAAGGTACTTCTCAGGACTCATCTATGTGAGTATCCCCTCCCGCGGGGCAATGGGACTTCCTCCTGGCTTCCTGCACCCCCAAGGAGGGGAGGGCTGAGGAACACGTTTGGGGTGCAGGTGGGAAGGCCAGTGGTTTGGCTGAGGAAGAGTGCACCATAAGGCAGGGTCCTCCATCTCTGGGTTCCCATCTCAGTCCTACCTGCCCCGCTCTGGAACCCAGAATAGGTGATCTCAGCTCTTAAAGCCTCCGTTTACCTATCTGTAAAATGGGAGTGATCACCCTCAGCATATACAGGAGGTGATGAGTCCATGGGATCTCCTCCAAAGTGTCATGGCCCATGACAAACTCTCCACAGATTTCAGTCATATATCATCGCTGCCCCCCCCCTTCCATCTTGGAGGTAAGGAAGAGCTGGTGACAAACTTGGAAAGGCTGGTCTGTACTGGCAACTGGGTGGGTAGGAGACATAAAGACTGGGTAGGCTTCATGGTGGCCTTCTGTGTCACAAATAGAACAGATGGGACCTCTGTGCCTCCTTTGGGTGAACTCTGCAGATCAGAGTGGGTTAGTGTTGTACAGGTCCAACATGGTAGCCAGTGGCCACTTGTGGCTAACTATATTGGAATTTTTATCAATTTGAAAGGTGAATATTTAAAAAAATTCATTTCTTTGGTTGTATCTTGGCCATGTATCAAGTGCTCTACAGCCACTTGCTATTGGTGTTGGATAGTCTCAAATACACCTGCCATCACAGCTCTGTTGGACAGCCCGGACCACATGATCGGGTGGTGACTGGGGAGTCACGGATTCCATGTGGGGCTTGACCAGCTCCTTAGAACAAGAGGGGCAAAGGCGTCCCCGCCATGCCAGCCTTGTGGGCAGAGTTACCTTCCCTTTCTTCTCTGAAGGTTTGTGCTAATGCATCAGGTGGGTGACGTAATTTCTCTAAAACTCATTTCCTTCTCTGTGTAATGGATGCAAGATTGTCTCAGCCCTATGGAACCAGGCTTTCTTTCTAAAAAGAAACCACAGAAGCACTTCCTGGTACATAGTAGATGCTCAGATGTTTGCTGTCACTATTACTGGGTTTTGTGGTTGGTTTGCCATTTTTATTATTGCTGGTCGGATGATCTTAGATCCTTTGTATGTCGAGGACACAGTCACTTCCATTGCTACGTCCTTTTGGTCCTGTCCTTTAAGACAAGCTTTTTAAAGAGCCAGCGGGTGCAGGATAGCCACTCACAGCTGTGAGATACCTCCTCCAGTCCAGCATCGCATCTTGGCATACTACCTAAGTGTTCTTTTTTTGTTGGTTTTGTGTTTGGTGGTTCTCAGGACTGGACAAAGCGCCTCCTGCTTGTTAGGTAGATGCTGTAGTACTTGGGCCACACCTCAGCCCTTTTTGTTTTAGTTATTTTTCAGGTAGGGTCTCTCGTTTTTGCCCAGGGCTAGCCTCAGACTGTGATTCTCCTACCACTGCATCCTGTGTTGCCGGATCTACAGTTGTGCACCACCTTGCCCAGCCCACTTCATGTCATCTAATGAATATCCACTGAGTTACGTGACTTGTCCCATTTTACAGGTGAGCAAGCTGAGGCCCAGAGCAGTAAGGCCCATCCTCCTTCCTCAGTAGAGAAAGTCCCTTTTGTCCATGCCAGTCCTTGTATGGCAGTGCTATCATCCTAGGTCCGTTGGTACAAGGCCCTTTCAAAACACCCATGTGCAGGGAGCCAGGGAAGGAGGAGAGAGGGATGGGTCTCCCATCCAAGGTATAATATCACTCCATCCTAGGAGGCAGAGGACAGGCCTGCGTCTCCATCTCACCTGCAGTCCTCCGATATGACATTTGAGTCCAAGATAGAAGCAGAAAGAGCGAGGGGCCTGTGATGGCCCCGACACCCAGAGAGTCTTCTGGAAGAGATTAGAAAATGAACAGAAGCCTCACATTCCTGCTGTGCCTCTCTGCCACACGGGACTGAAAGCCTTTCAGCCTTGGTGCTGTGTCTGCTCCAGTCTTTGTACCTTTCTGCTCAATTGAATCGCTCAATAAAACCGTTGCACATCATGGAGAGGGTGAAGAAGGAAGGGCGGGGCGGGGCAGCCCGTGATCACAATCTGTGACTCCTGTTGATAGGGGTGGCAGGTGATGCTGTGTCTTTGACTCAGGCACAGGTCAGCCATGCCTGACTTTGTTCTCAGTGCTGAGGAGAATTTTCCTGTCCATTCTGCAAGATTGTCTTCAGACAAGAGACCTTTGAGAAGGTAGATCTCTGGTCCTCTTGGGTCTAGAAGAATCCATGGAGACAGAGGAGCCTGTCTACTTATCTCAGAGATGCAGACTCTGGGTTTAGGAACACTCAGGGCCTTACCTGGGCTGCTACTGCAGGTGCTTTTTTTTGGGTCAGTACTGGGGTTTGAAGTCAGGGCTTCGTGCTTGCTAAGCAGGCACTCTATCACTTGAGCCATGCCCTCAGCCCTACAGGTGGCTCACGTCACACCTGTTCAGGGACATATTCTGGTCTAAGGTTCCTTGCTTCTCAGGCCACTGTCACTGGCTGGGCCTCTTTGCCTAGGATCTATCACGGACCATGTAAGCTGTCAACTCTGGTCCTGATGTTTTGCTCGAGGGCGCTGGAGGAGGAGCTCCCCCAGGTGCGGGCCTGCTCTGTGCCAGCCCAGCCGACTTTGTCTTCTGTGACACTGGTGATATCTCACCCTACAGATTAGATGACTGAGACAGACTAGTGACACACACATAGGAAGGGACCCAGGTGCAGACTGGGACAAGTGTTTTCTTCACTCTCCTGCTTCTCCATGTGACCCGGAGCCCCTTCCTTGCCCCTGAGGTTTTGTGATTAAGAGCAAGAAGACAAAACGCACTTGAGCTCCCTAAAATCTCTAATGCCTGTTCCGGATGCACTTTCTCTAGCACGGGGCGCTGAGTGCTGTGAGTGAACGCTGCAAGGTCTCTGAGTTTAGGAAACGCTGCACGCGTGTGTGTTTTGCAGGCAAGGGTCCTAGCTGCCATTAGACTCTCAGAAGGTCCTGTTGCCCTCGTGGCGATAACAGCTGTTTTTTATTAAAATTGACTGTGTTACATGTATGCTGACATTATTGCTGCTACTATTTCCTTTATCTAATAAGAAGATGCTATTAATTTATTTAAGCCCCCCCCCTTTTGGTGGTCCTGGGGTTTGAAGTACATGCTAGGCAGGCGCTCTACTGCTTGAGCTGCACCTCCAGCCCTTTTTGTGCTGGTTATTTTGGAGGCAGGGTCTCACTTTCTGCCCAGGCCAGCCTGGACCACTAGTCTCCTACTTCATGCTTCCCACTGTAGTTGGGATAACAGCATGCTCCACCATACTCAGCATTTTTTCTGTTGAGATGGGGTCAAAGGTTGGCCTGGAACTGTGATCCTCCCCATGTCAGCTTCCCACTGTACCTGGGATGATAGGTGTGTGACACCATACCCAGCTTTTTTCCACTGAGAGCGGGTCTCACTGCCTTGGAACCATGATCCTCCTGATCTCAGTCCCCCAAGTAGCTAGAATCACAGGAATGAGGCACTGGAACTCGGTTTATATATGTCCCTCTTTGCAGATTAAAAAAACCCCAAACTGTAGTTTTGATCCAGGCATGGTGGAATACGTCTGTAATCCCAGCACTTGAAAGGTAGAGGCAGGAAGATGGCAAGTTTGAAGCCAGCCTTGACTACATAGTGAGACCTTATCTCAAAAACAAAGAAAGGAAAATGCAGCTTTGAAAAGTGAAATAACTTGGTGAGACCTGCAGGCCAGTCTCAAACCTGGGAGGCCAGACCTAGGGCCAGTGCTTCTTGCGGTGCTGTGAGGCAGATGCTGTTATCCTGTTTAGAGATGCTAAGATGTGCTCGTTGCTGGTCAGTGGGCAGAGCTGGGGTGACCTCCCATGATGGTGGAGGCCCTTAGGTAGCAGTAGACTTGCAGCAGGAGAGAAGAGGGGTGAGCTGGGCCCAGTGGCCCCAGGACCATGGGTGCTGTGAGCTGTTCAGTGCATAGCAGAAGAAATTTAATCCCACATTCTGATTTCTCTAGCACCTACCAGGAGCTAGGCTGAAGGCCCAGCCTAAGTGACTTTTTTTTATTGAGTTAATTTGATATTGCAAAAGAAAAGAACATCTGAATTTGTGCATTGCTTGGAAAAGCAGAGGACCTGCCATGCCTGGACCCAGGATTTGAAGTAGCAATCCCTGGGAGAGGGGTGCTCAGTCTCTGCTTTTCCACAGTCCCCACCTCTCCCTATTGTCTCTCAGCCCACAGAGCTGAGTGCTGCTGCTCACAGCTAGTCCATTTTACATAGGCACACCTGGTTGATCTCCACAGACCCTGGGACCTTCTGCCCCCATGCTGAGCCCCTGGGCTTGGGAGCAGCATGTTCCCAGGCAAATGTGGAGGGCCTCCCTGTTTGTTGAGCTGCCCCCCACCCCCAGGACAGACCCCCAGCCCATAAACCCATGGAGACATTTTCCCCATTCCCTTCCATCAGGAGGGCTTTGCTTCCAAACTCTAGCAAGTGAGGGTGTTTCCGTGTTAGAGACCTGGCTGTGACCTAAGCCTTCTCTGGAAGGATTGCCCACTCTGGACACTAGGAGCAGAGGCGTCCTGGGTTCCAGTCACTAGGCAGGGCCCAGGGAGCAGAAAGACACAAAGAGCTGGAGGTGGTTTTGCACGCCTGGGGTCCCAACTACTTGGGAGGCAGAGATAGGGGGATCACAGTGCACTGCCTGCACGGGCAAAATTGCAAGACCCTCTCCACAAAACAAACTAAAAGAAAGAAGGGCTGTGGTGTGACTCAAGTGGTAGAGTGCTTGCTGGGCAAGCATGAGGCCTTGAGTTCAAATCCCGGTACCACAAAACAACAGCAAATGAACACACAGCTAGAGGTGGCCCCTTGTTGAGCTCCATGGAATGGAATTTTCAGGTCATTTAGATAGTGCAAGTCATTTTGGCTTCAAAAACCTCTTGCAATAATACAGGGTTGTCCATGCAAGAGCTTATTGAAAAACAAGGGTGTGTTGTAAAAAGCAAGGCCACCCTCCCACCTTAGCTCCCCAGCCTCTATTCTGGGGACAGATGTGGTTGACAGGGCCAGGTCTGCATAGACACATAACAAATGCCACAACAAAACCCACTCCAGGGACGTTCTGCAGCTTACTCTGTTCACTTCCCACATCTTGTGAGTCTTCTGCCTCTGTGACAAGCACCTCACCAGATGAAGACATTTGTTTGGATAGGTAACGATACAAATGTGAAATAAATCTCTGTATAAGGACATATAGAGTCTTTCCTTTTTCTCCCATCCCTTGACCTTCCAGTTCCCCTCCTCAGAGAAACTGTGACCCCAGTTTCTCACGTGGCCTTCCAGCAATGTTTTAGACACACCCTGGCCAACGTGGAGCCCTTCCCAATGGCAGCACAGGTCACGTGCTGTTGTGATCCTTGCTGTTTGCATCTATGTATTCTGACCGTCTGTCCATCGTGGATGGAGCCCTGTACTGTTCAACAACACAGTCTTCTGCTACAGATATGAACAGTAATAAGTGAGTCATCCCCCATGGGTGGACACCTAGGTTGTTTTTCGCCTCTCTGTCTAAAGTCAGGGCTATTGGAGAAGCACGTTCTCAGTGGACTGTGTCTGTCTCAGATGTGCAGGTGGGGGTGACATTGCCCTCATGTTCTAGAGGGGAGAGGAGGCTCGGGGTAAGAGGCAAAGCCAAGCTCCCCCAGGTCTGTGGGTCTGAAGCCCTGTTCCTTCCTCTTCCCTCCCTGTTCCTCGCTTCTCCCCAGGCTGAGGGAGCAGCCCCAGCTCAGGGCTCCATGGTTGACCATATAAAGAGTCAGGGAATGACTGGAGCTGCTTCCTAATACGGTCACAAGAGGGAAATTTGTGCCTGCAGTTGGGACCTGCTGGTGGCCGGCCCGAGAGATGCTGGCTGGAACATGGTGGGGACAGTGAAACCTCCAAACTTAACAATCAGGAGAGGGACTCCTGGAGCTGGAGCAGAAACACAGCCAACTTCAGGGAGGCTGGGTTGCCAGGGAGGGTGAACGGAGCTCAAACAATGGAGGTGGCGCAGTCAGGTTCAGAGCCCAGAGACCTAAAGGAAGAGGCTGCCACCTGCCCAGCCTCTCTCTCACCCTGGGGCCCTGGCTTGCTTGGGAGGATTTTCCAAACTGAGAGGAGACTCAGATCTGCCTGGAAGTACTTGCTGTGTGCATGGAACCAGGAGAGATGTCTTAGGTAAGCAGGAAGAAAGTAATACTACGCTGTGTGCCAGAGTGTAGCTCACAGTGCAAGAGGTGACATTGGGGCTGAGCCCTGAGAGAGGAGATGGTAATAGCTCTGGGAAGACCAGGGGAAAAGTGTTGCAGACAAAGGAACAGCATCTGCAACTTCCCAAGTTCCTGAATATATGCAAGTAAACACTATGCATTCAACTGTATATTTCAACTGTCGCTCTTGTTGACTGAGTCCCTGTTACACACCAGGCATGGTGTGACATGCTTTGCAGGCATTATCTCATAGCAAACCTGTGAAGGAATTGTCAGTATGTCCCACTGGTTTGCAGATGAGGATGACAGAGGCTCAGAGAGGTTAAGAGACCTGCTCAAGTTTACACAGTCAGGGAGCAGCAGAAAGAGAGTTCAAATCCGAGTCCCCAGCACCTATTCTGTATGCTTGTACTGTCTTTTACTGCTTCCAGTCAAGGGCTTGGGAGGGGGGTTAGGCTGTAAATGATACCCACATTCTCAGAGAGGTGAGGGGTGGGGTGTGGCCAGGAGGAGCAGGAAGCACAGTTGAGGAAGAGGCGGGGTTTGGGTGGCCTCACTTAGATAACAGCCGACTGGCACCCACTGTTTGGGAGGCCTGGGCCAGGGGCACAGGACACGAATAGGACATGACCACAACTCTGGCTCAGCAAATGTCCACAGTGTGGACTGTGTGCAGGGCAAGTCCCCAGGGTCACAGAGGTGAACGCAGGCTGCCCTTGCTCTGAGGAAGCTTTAATTTGACCCTCAGGCGTTCATTCTAGTAAGCATTTAATTGGTACTTACTGTAAGCCAGGGCCTGGGCAGGACTGAAGAGGAGAGGACAGGCAGAGCAGGATGCTGATGGAGTGGGGTGGGGGATCCTGCTCCATCAGTCTGCCTGGCCCTTGTACCTCCGCAGGAGCCCGTCCCTCTGGCCACTGCTCCTCCAGCCATAGCTGGTTCTTCAGTCACCTCCACCACTCCCCATCCTGTTCTCCTGCCTCTCTGCCTCTTGGGTGCCTCTCCTACCTTGAGCTGGCTAACACCACCTTGACCTTTAAGACTTGGTGCCCCCAGAGTTTCTCTGGCTTCTCTCAATGTGGCTTAGGGATCTTCCTTGTTCCCATAATCTCCTATTTGTATGGTTGGTTGATTGATTTTATGGTACTAGGGATTGAACTCAAGACCTCGTGCTTGCTAGACGAGCACTCTGCTACTCCATCCACACCCCTAGTCCTTTTCCTTTTAGCTTGTTTTTCAGATAGGGTCTTGGGCTAACTTTGCCCTGGCCAGGCTTGGACTGCAATTCTTCTCTCTCTGCCTCCTGAGCAGCTGGGATTACAGGTGCGAGCCACCACGCCTGGCCCATGATCTAAAAAATGTTGAAGGGTGACTACCATTGACTTATTTACCCCTGGCCTCTAATAGGGGCTCAATAAATGACCAATGGATGTCCAAACAGGTGTTACGTTGACTTCATTCACTCTGAACCTGGGAGGTCTTTCCCTCTTCCCCTATCAACCCTGCAACTCTGAAGCATAGCACTTGTCCCTGGGTGCCCCTGGCTGTCACACACCACGGTCCCTTGGAAGATTGAGCCCTAGATGGTTTTTCCCACTCTCTATTAGCCAGTCCCCAGCTGAAATCCCCTAAAACTTTGGCTTTCTGTGTGCTCTACGATTTTCCTGTCACCTTGCATGGTGTCTAGAATGTACAGACAGAATGACCAGTAGTTTCCACGGTCACAGGGCAGGCACAGGGCAGACAGCCTAATGTTCCAAGCTCACACCAGGGAGCGGACCAGGCTGGGACAGATGCTATGGCATCATGCTGATGATTTTGGTCAAGTTGCCGAACCTCTCTGGTTGGCTTGGAGGACAGAAGAATGGTGGCTGTCACACTCCTGATGCTCATTATTTGTCAAGAGCAGTTCTGTGGGACAGGATGGAGCCTGTCTGCTAAACTGTGACCTTGGCCCATGGGAAACACGGATGTCTAGAGAGGAGGGGCAGCCAAGAGCGCCTACTCTGTGCCCAGCACGGTGGGTTTGCTGCAGGCTTCCACTCCCTCCCTGTTCCAATTAGTTTCAGGTATTTCTCTTTACCTGGTAAAGCAGGACTAAAGTTTCTTTTCAATCACAGTGAAATTTATGGTAACATAAAATTCCCCATTTTAACATTTGAAAGGAGATGGCTGAGTGACGCTGTGCACCATCACCACCGTCTAGCTCTGGAACTGGTTTAATTTTATTTTTTGTGGCATTAGGGATAGACTCCAGCCCTCACACGTGCTAAGCAAGTGCCAGGGCATTTCATAACCCCAAAAGGAAACCCTGTATCCACTAGCAGCCCCGCCTCATTGTCCCTCACCCCAGCCGCTGGGAATGCCAGGTTTGTCGTCTGTCTCTGTGGGGTCACCTGCTCTGAGCATTTCATGTCAGGGGCCATGTGCTCTGTGGCTCTCCAGCCCTGACTTCTTCATTCAGCATCGTGCTTGGAGGTTTGTCCCTATTGGGGCCTATGTCGGGCCATCCTTCCTGTCAGGACAGCTGTGCCCATCCCCAGGGACAGAGGAGGACCCTCTGTGAGTGAGCTCTGGGGTAAACATCACAAGAGTGTAGCTCTGCCTGTTTCCATAGTGAGTGGTTATCATGTCCGCCTCACACAAGTGTCTACTTCTGAGTCGCCTCCAGCTCTGTGACTTGGCAACAATCTCACCGGACCTCAGTTTCCCCTCCCGTCATATGGGCGGTGGGGGGGCTTATGGTGTCACCATCCTGGGGCACTTGGGAGGGTCACTAAGAAGATGTCTGTGCTGTGCTCAGGTCAGTGGCTGGCGCCTGTGAATAGTAGCTATTACTTAAGATCAAGGACACAGTGACAGCAGTCAGTGTAGAGCCTGGATTTGAACTCGGAACTGTTTAAAACCACACAGTTATAAGATACAACAGAGAGGGCCTAAAAGCGTAGCTTGATCCCTGTCCCCACCACCCCCTGCCATGTCCCAAATACCAGTGACGTCCAGGGGTGCTTGCTGTGCCTCTGAGCCTCAGTTTCCCCGGGGGTCTCAATCATGAGGATGCTAAGCCTGCCCGTCGGAGCCTTTCCTGCCCTGGTCTGGAGCTGAGCTCCGTTCTCTGTTTGCAGACCTACTCCGGCCTCTTCTGCGTGGTTGTGAACCCCTATAAGCAGCTGCCCATCTACTCGGAAAAGATTGTGGACATGTACAAGGGCAAGAAGAGACACGAGATGCCTCCCCACATCTATGCCATCGCAGACACGGCCTACAGAAGTATGCTGCAAGGTGAGCGGGTGCTGGGTGTGCGGTTCTTTCACGATGCTCGAGCTCACCTCCTCCAGGAAGCCCCCGCTGGCTGTGCCCAGGCCTCCATCTGCTTCCCTGTGTCCTTGCCAGGAGTGTGGAGTTTGGCAGGAGGCACTGGGGGACCAGAGAGATGTGACTGAAAAAGGGAAAGAGCAAGTGGAACCTCTGTGTCTGTGGCCTTGACAGCGGGGAGGGGAAGGGAGCAGAAGCTTGGGCAAATACAGCCATGACCAGCTGGGCTCTGGAGCTCAGGCCCCTGGCTGCCCGAGGGCCCTGGCCCGGCTGTCTGGAGAGGAAAGGAAGGGAACAGCTTCCACCCAAGGGGCACAGGCTCGCACCTACCTGCCTCTCACTCATGTGAGAGGGTGGATAGCTGTCTTTCTTTCCCTGCCTCAGTTTCCTCATCTGTAAAAGGGGGTAACAATCTCCATCTTGCAACTTGTTGTAAAAAATCACTGTTGCCATCCTTTCCAGACTTAAGACTTTTGCATATTACCTTCATGCTTGTGAACTATGGTTTGAATATCCTGTAACTCAAATGCTTGCGACTGGAAGTGTTTCGGATTTTAGATTTTCTTTTTTTCTTTTTGGATTTTGGGACATTTAAATATGTAATGAGCTATCTGGAGGGTGGGAGCCAAGTCTAAGCAGGAAGCTCATCGCCTGAAGGTCAACGTTTCGTATGATACTGTAAAATAATTCTGTGTGGGAGTCTGGGCTTGGTGGTGCACACCTGTGATCCCAGCACTCGAGAGGCTGAGGCAGGAGGATTGTGAGTTCAAGGCCAGCCTGGGCTACATCACAAGACACTGTCTCACAAAAAACAAACAATAAACTCTATACATGAGAGAAAGTTTCACAGAATGAAACTTTGGTGTCATGTTGGAGCTCAAAGGGTTTTAGATTTTGGATTTTCAGACGAGGGATGCTCAAGCTGTGTTACTGATATATCAATATAATTTTTTGAGGGGAGGGCACTGGGATTTGAACTCAGGGCCTCGAGCTTGCTAGGCAGGTGCTCTCCAGTTGGGCCCCTCCCGCAGCCCGATGACACATACGGTGGGCGGGTAAACCCTGCTAACTGAAAGCGTTCTGCTTATACTGTGCAGTGTATAATCGCCATCCAGACCAGATGGGAGACATTTCTAGAACGTTCCCCATGTCTCTCCCCAGTCAATACCTCTTCCAAACACCCCTCTCCTGCCAAAGTCACTGTTATTCTAATTTCTGTCACAACCAATTAGTTTTGCTTGTTCTTAAACTCATACAAACGGCATCCTTACATTATTTACTTCATATATTTTTTTAAATCTTCCTCCTCTCTTCAGACCTCTTCAGACTAAGCAAAACCCAGCAGTTAGTGCATGAATTTTCTAATGGAGTACCTGTGTTCAAATTCCAGCTCTGCCAGTCACTTGCTGTGTGACCTTGGATAAGCTACTTAACCTCTCTGGACCTCTGTTTCCTCCCCTATGAAGAAGTCTAATATTAACCGTGTTCTTCCTACCTTGTAGGGCCAAAATGAGGATTAAATGAAGGATTGAATCTAAAGTACTTAGAACAGTACCTAGGAGCCAGGTGCCAGTGGCTCACGCCTGTAAGTAATCCTAGCTACTTGGGAGGCTGAAACCAGGAGGACTTTGGTTCAAGGCCAGTCCAAGCAAATAGTTCACAAGACCCCATCTCCAAAATAACCAGAGCAAAATGGACTGGAGGTGTGGCGCAAGTGGTAGAGCGCCTGCTTTGCGAGCACAAAGTCCTGAGTTCAAACTTCAGTCTCATCAAAAAAAAAAAAAAAGCAGTAACAATAAGAACAAACCCAGTGCCTGGTACTTGGTTAAAAATAAATCTCACTTAAGTGCCAGCTATTACAGATTGCACGTCCCTAACCTAAACCCCAAATCCACAGTGCTCCGAAATGTTCTGATCGCCCACACGATGCCATGAATGGAAAACTGCACACCACGAGACTGGGGCTCATGCACAAAATTGCTTAAGCAATTCTATAAAATTGCCTTCAGATTGTGCAGATCAGGTGTGTATGAAACAGATAAATTTCGTACTTACACTTGGGTCTCACCCTCAGGAAACCTCATTATGTCTATGCAAGTATTCCAAGCTCTGAAAAAATCCAAGATCTGAAGCTTTTCAGAGAAAGATATTCGACCCATTAAACGGAACCCAGGACCCATGGGGGGTGGCATTTAACCCGCGGTAGGAACAGGTGCAGCAGGCCAGGCGAGAGTGATGGGTCCTCGAGGGGACTCACCCCCTTTGCAGCACGTGGGAAGGCAGTGATCTGAGTTGGAAATCGAGAGGATCTCTGTGCTGGAAATCCCCGAGGGCAGGAGGGACTCGGGGAGAAGTGCTCCAAGTTACTGAGTCCACAGTACTGGCTGGACCACACCAGACATGGGCCTGCAATTCCTCCAACGACCAGCAGGGGGAGTGCTGCAGAATGGACCTGGAGATGCTATCTGGTCATAAAGGGGCCTGCAGATGGCCACATGTCTTTTGTGGAATTGTACCTGTGGCCTCCCCGAGTGAAGGATATTTTTTAAGTGGTTCACACATATCTTTAGGAAGCAGAGCGTCAGAACGTTCTGGTGTCATTTAGCTCGATTAAGGTTGGAAGTAACATAACTAACTAAAGTGGATTAAACAATAGAAGTTCATTACCTCTCATAACAGGAAGCCTAGAGGCTGTTGATCTCAGAGTTATTTAATTCAGTGACTCACAAGCAAGCTTTGGGATTTTCTCGGCCTCTCCCTCATGGTCACAAGATGGCTGCACATATCCAGCCAGCACATTTTCATGTGATAGTATCTGTAAGAAACAGAGGGTTAGGGTCTCTTCCTCTCCTGTTCTTCTCTCTTCTTCCTCCTTCTTCTTCCTCTTCTCTTGCTCCTTCTCCTTGTTCTTCCTCTCCCTCTCTCTCTCCTTCTCTCTCTCTCTCTCTCTCTCTCTCTCTTAGGAAGGACCTTGGTAAACCTAGCAAAAAGGACTGAGACATTCATGATTGGTTTGGGTCTTTTCTGGAGCAGAGGGAGTTCCCACTAAGCACATTTCTCTTAATGCCAGAACGAAATAAAATTCAATTATCAGAGAGGAATGTGGGAATAACAGATAAGCAAGCATTGCTGCAGTGTTCTGAATATTTATATATATGTAACTTTACAGCATCTGTAATATTACATTCTAGAAAAATCTCAGCATATTTAAGCAAAAGGGAGCATACCAGCACCTACCTTTCTGTCACTAGAAGATCACCACTGGTGACGTTTTGCTATGCAACTTTTCTTCCACTGATTGAGTTGAGTGGCAAGAAATGGACGTTTTGACTATCAGAAAATAATTAATTCCAGAAAAAGAGGACCTAAAAGAGGGACCAGAGTTTCACTGTAGATGGTGAGGGGGGCACAGGGACAAGGTTCAGACGAGGTTTGACTAGATTGGAAAATGACCTTGTGGATTGGAGGCATGGCTCAAGTGGTGGAGGACCTGCTAGCAAGGGTGAGGCCCTGAGTTCAAATCCCAGTGCTGCAAAGAAGGAAGGATGAAAGGAAGGGAAGGAATAGAAAGGAAGGGGAGGAAGGGGAAGATGGGAGGGAGGAAAGGAAGGAAGGAAGAAAGAAAGGAAGGAAGGAAGGACCCTGCAAATTGTGAAAGCAGGTGTTTCTCATTTTTCTAGTATATTGGGAATTTGGTTGCAATTGCAAAAACAATTCCTGGATGGAGCATAAAATGATGAAGGGTCCATGGGTTAATTTAATTGTGTCAGAGCAAAGTATGATACTCTTTGTGTCATGCTTGACCCCTGCCCCATGGCTACTGAGGATGGCTCTTGCTGATTTATTCACGGAAAATGGGTGACCGTTTTCCATAGGTGACGTTTGCTGTTTTGCTGGTGAGCATGGTCTCCAGATCCCTGTTATCTCGTCCACAATGGCTCTGTGAGTCTCTTGGGAAGTGACCTCTTTTTTTCATGGCTTTTCTAAGGCCATTGATCTGGTGCACTCCACACCTTATTTGACACAGCTGCCACTCAGCTGTGCTTGGATCGTGATGGTGGATTGTGGCACCCAGCTGGCAGCAGGGGAACAGCTGAATGGGGCAGCCATGGTGTGGAGCAGACAGGTTTTGTTGAGGTCTGCAGTCCCATGTGGACCACTGATTGAGGATTATTTTGGGTTTCTGATGACGTCTGCTTCCCTCCAAAGCTCCTAACCGTGGGGCAAGGTTCTACTCAATGACAAAGACTTCTGTGTTGCTGGGCGCAGGTGGCCGTGCCTGTAATCCTAGCTATTCAGGAGCAGAGATCAGGAAGATCTCCCCACCAAAAAGACTGTTCTCCTGTTCTCTATGTGGAAACACAAAAGTGTGTGGTCTGCTCTCCAAAAATTGCCTCGCAGTGGTCAGGGGGCATGTCCACGTTTCAGTGGAAGATGACATATCCACATGGGGCACATGTCCACAGAGAGCATTTAGATGGTCAGCTGTTGTGTTCATTCCTTCAGGCACGGCCTGCTGCTTCCAGGTGAACCACTAAGAGTGGAAACGTAAAAAAAAGACCCTCAAAAGAAAATATCACGGAGGAAAAGATAAGCTTGGGAAGAATTCTGTTCATCCACTTTTGTTCTTTCTTCGTGTTTTGTTTTGGTAGGACTGGGGTTTGAACTCAGGACTTCACACTTGCAAAGCAGTCACTCTAGCACCTGAGGCACACCTTCAGTCCATTTTGCTCTGGTTATTTTGGAGATGGGGCTCTCACAAGCTATTTGCTCCAGGTGACCTTGAACCACGATCCTCCTGATCTCCGCCTCCCAAGTAGCTAGGATTACAGGCGTGAGCTGCCAACACCCTTCGGGAATGTAGTTCTGTAGAGGAAGGTGTGGGCCAGGCTGTGACTCTGCTGATGAGTGTGACTCATTTATGTCATGTCACCCAGCCAGGATCCACACTGCACTTACTGTCTTGT